GCGAGCGTGCGCACGAGCGACTGGCCGCCGTCGGCGGCGACAACCAAGCGGCCGCGAAGCTCCTCGCCGCCTTCAAGGTGCACCGTGCTGTAGCGGCAGACTTCGTTGCCCTTGAGGAAGTTGCGCACCTAGTTGGTCGGTGAGTGCCATAGATACGCGACGGAGAAGGCCACGACAATGCAAGACGTACAACAGCAGGGCTGTGGATGCGAAGCGGCTGCTCGTCGCCATCCTGCGCCGCGAGCTCTTCCATGCGCGCCATGAGCGCACGCTGCAAGACGCCGTGCTCGATGATGTACCCCAAGTTCTGGTCCTTGACGCCGGCCTTGGCAGCGTCAAAGCGCACAAAGCCATCGCCCATCGCGTCCCAGACCTGCATGTCCTGGAACGGAGCCATGTGCTTCTCGCTCATCTTGGACCAGACGCCAGCGGCTTCGAGGAGCTTCTTCGAGGCCGGCGTGATCGAGTAGACGCGGAGGTCCGGAAGGCCGAGGTCCTCCGACTCGACCTTGCGCGGCGGCTGCGTCTCAATGATCGACACCTTCTTGCCCTTGAAGAGCGGGTTGGACTTGAGGCTGCACGCCAGCGCCGAGCCGACAATGCCGCCGCCGACGATGAGCACATCGTCAAGCTTGGCAGCATCGAGCTCACGCTGCTGCTGCTTCTCGGCGAGCGTCATGGACATGGCGCGAGAGGTCTGCTGCAGGAGCGGGCCGCGGGCGGCGCGGCGGACAAGGGCGGGGCGTAGCATCTTGACCACGAAAAAACGCAAAATGGCAGTCTTCACGCCCACAGCCTTTTTGGCCAATCAGACGCGTGTATGCCTCGAAAAGCGACCAATCCGCGCTCGCGAAGCGCCGACCAATGCATCGTTGGTGCCAACGTCGTAGATCTCGAGCCATTTTTGCAGCGTTAGCATGGCCCACCTCGTCTCCGTGCAGAACCTCGCGCCCGCCCTCACGATCGAGCGGCTTCGCGCGGCCTTCAAGAGGTTCGGCAAGCTCGTCTCGGTCGACATCCGCGACAATGGCACTGGGTACGTCTTTCGCTGCGGGCTTGTCGTGGCTCATCCTGCATATTGGCAGCGCGATCGTGTACGAGAAAGCGACCAGCGTGAACAAGGCGACCATGGCCATGAACAACGCGGTAGGCTTCGCGCGATTGGCGTCGTGGCGGTGCCTCATGGCGTGGACGTAGGTCGTCCTCGGCAAGCGCATGACGGTGGTGGCGGGCGAGTCGCAGGCGCCGGCGTCGTCCGGCGTGGCGGCGCCGCTTGCGGAGCGCGGCGCCACCGGCTTCGAGGCGTCGACACTGTGAGCGCGCGCAAGAAGTCCAAGGTGCTCTGCGCCACGGTGGCCATGGGCGGTGTCTGCACGCACGGCGACGAGTGCCTCTTCAGCCACGACGCGTCGACCGCGATCAACGGCAAGTCGCCCATCCTCTGCCGCAACTTTGCCCGATCCACGTGCTCGTTTGGCGACCAATGCCTCTTCAGCCACGACCCGACGATGGACAAGCGGTCGCTCATCAAGTGCCGCAACTACGAGAAATTCGGGTCGTGCAGCCGACCCGACTGTGCGTTCGGTCACGACGGATTGAGCAAGCGTGCAGCCGCCGCGGTGCTCGAACCGCCGGCCGCCAAGAAGCTCAAGATCGCGTCCGTCCCCAAGAGCCAGCAGGCGCCGATGCCCACGACCGCCAAGACGACCAACCAGACGCCTGCCCCGTCGTCGTCGTCGTCGTACGCCGACGTTGCCGTATCGATGGCGAGCTCATCGAGACTATGCCATAGGACGCTGCCCAAGTGCGCGGAATGCATGAAGACGAACGCGACGCTCCGCTGCGCGCAGTGCGAAGAGCACTACTGCGCCGCGTGCGATGCGACGGCCCACGCGTCGCGCGTCATGTCCAAGCACGAGCGCACCGCCCTCGCGGTCCCGATCTTCTGCGCCGAGTGCCGCACAGACGCCGCGACCGTGCGCTGCACCAAGTGCGAACTCGACTTTTGCTCGGGCTGCTCGTGGAAGGTGCACGAGTTCCGCGTCTTCCGCAGCCATCGCCGCGAGCCGATTGGAAATGCCAAGTCGGATGCCGACGTTAACGAAGCGATGGTGGACGAGGAGGAAGCCAGCGAAGAGGATGATACTGTCGAGCAAGTGCCCGTTGTGGCGCCCAAGACGCCCGCTGTGCGACCGATGCCCAAGATGGTCCTGAGCGACGACAGCAGCAGCGACGAAGAGACGGTCCAAGTGGCTGCCAAGTCGCCAGTTGTGGCTGCCAAGGCGCCCGTCGTATCTGCACCCGTGACGGAGCTCTCCAGCGAAGACGAAAGCGAGGACGAGAGCGAGGTCGCGCCTGCACCGTCGGCTCCCGCCACGGCGCTCGACAGTGAGAGCAGCGAGGAAGAAGAAGAAGAAGTGGTCGCGCCAAAGAAGGCGTCGGTGCCGGCGACGTTTGCCGCGGTTGCTGCGGCCACGGCGCTGAGCTCCGAGAGCGACAGCAGCGAGGACGAAGAAGTGCCCACGAAGAGCGCGCCCAAGAAGACGGCTGTCGCGCCGGCCACGGCGTTGAGCAGCAGTGAAGACAGCGACGACGACGACAGCACGGTTGTGGTGCCCAAGAAGAAGGCAGCGCTCGGTTCCACGACGCACTCGGTCGTCAAAAAGATCGAGGCGTACGCCGAGTCGGACTCGACCGGCGTGCTGCACTTGAGCCCGGACCTCAACAGCTACGAGCGGCTTCTGGCCCACGACACGGCCGAGAAGCTCGGGCTCGCGCACATGAGCGTCGGCGACGGCCTCGAGCGCCACATCACCGTCTCCAAGTCGGCGCCAGCGCCCAAGGCCAAGAAGGCGTGGTCCAAGTCGCGCGCCTAGAACCATTCCGTCGGGCCTCGTCTGCCTTACGCAACTACGTATACTACTACTACTAGAACAACAACAACAACAACTCCCGATACGCACATGTCTTTTGTTTTTTGTGCTGAGCCTTGAACACCAGTTGCCTCGGACGATTGACGAGTATAGGATTCGCATAAGAGGCGATCCCAGGCTGTTTCAAGCAGTAACACAACCGAGGCAAGCTCGCGTCTTCCCGATGGGAACCTAGATCAATCCACTGCGCACCAGGTACGAGAGAGTGCGCCCCTTGCGCTCTGGTTGCTCGTGCATCGGAGCTCGAAGGCCCTCCTCGCCTCACTACTGTGGCCTGCTGGCTGATCCGTCAGCATCCACTCGGCGTCCACTCTGTACGCCGGCCACGAGCCATGCAGGGGCTTGCAGGAATCGCACGTGAGCTGTTAGATTTGGTTATTCAGGCGCGGGCGGTCACCAAGCACGACGCTCACGGAAGGGGCTGGCCAAACTTGCCGTGGAAGAAGAGATCGTCGACAGGGAGGCGCGGCGACGGCCCGCGACCGCTCGTCGACGGTGCGGCGTAGCCGCATGCAATGACCACCGGCACCGAGTACCGATCCGGAATGTCGAGGGCGTGGCGAAGGCGCGTCTCGTCATAGCCTTCCATAGCCTGTGTGCCGACGCCATGAGACTCGGCAGCGTACATGAACGTCGTGGCTGCGATCATCGTCTGCTTGTACGACCACGCGGTCACGGGTACGTACGTCGGGACCGGGCGCAAAGGGGACACGGCAGTCGAGATGAGCGCGCGGATGCCGCCCGCCAAGTGGCCTTCGCCGCCAAAGAAGCGCAGCTTGGCGCCGAGTTGTTGGACGTACGACGGGTTGGCGCCATCTTGGCGAAGCATGTGCTCGACAGCGGGCAGGCGCTTGCTGGGCTCTAGTACGACGCATCGTGAGAGCGACAAGCGAGCATCGTACGCGTACCCAAGTCGGCGGCGAACACCGCAATGAGTGGCGCGCTTTGCACCTTCTCGACGTTGCCGCCCAGCATGGCAGCGCTCATGGCCTCGCGCTGGGCTACGTCTTCGATGAGGATGCACGCGTACGGCTGCATGTTGAGGCTCGTCGGTGCCCGCTAGCATGTACGTCAACCTTGCATGTAGAGAGTATGCGCGCGTACCCGCGTCGTCTCAAGGATGTCCTGCACGACGTCCTTGGCGATGGCCGTGGGCAGGAAGCGGCTCACCGACCGGCGCTGCATGGCAATCGCCCGGAACGTGCTGGCGGCCGACATCGGTGGAACTCGGTAGCACTTTCGATTTTGACGTCTTTTTGGCCAATCGGATACCGTTTCATTTTGGCCAATCCCAGCACGCCAACTAGTTGCATGCTGCTTTCGGCAACAAATGCAGCCGAAAAGCTCGATCTCTCTCAATCTCCTGGATCGATACCCGGCAGCACAGCCTCCGCCCCTACTAGTCCTATGATTGCCTTGTGCTGTACAGTAGAGCAGCCCGTCATCGTCGTCTCGCAGCGTAAGATCGAGGTCAGCAAAAATCTGGCCCATTGTGAAAAGTTGCATTTTGACCAATGGCATTGCCCGATTCAACGACAGCCGCAATGACGATGACCGTGGGGCAGCGCTGCGAGATCTCGGGGAAGCGTCGGGGCGAGATCGCGTACATTGGCCCCGTGGAAGGGATCCCTGCTGGCGACTGGGTCGGCGTGCGCCTGGACCTCGCCTTTGGCAAGAACGACGGGACCCAGAACGGTACCAAGTACTTTGAGGCGGCGCCGCTGCATGGCGTCTCTGTCCGGCCCGAGAGCGTCAACGTCTCGGAGGCCTTTGCGCCGCTCCTCGTCGTGTCCGATAGCCTGTCGCTGGAAGAGAAGGTCCGCGTCGTCGAGAACGCCCGCGCCGAGCAGCGCGAGTCGACGCAGCGCAAGGCCGCGCTCTCGGAGAAAGACACGCGCGCGACGGCCGTCGACGGCTTCTGGAAGCAGTTCACCGAGATGGAAACTGCGACGCGGGTCGGCCTCGACGCGCTGCAAGGCCAAGAGCCTTCGCCGAATCTCCGCGCCGAGCTCGACAGCCTCGTGGCCCGCGTCCAGGCGATGCGCGACGCCGCCGCCGACGCGTCGCTCTACTTGCCGCCGTACGACATTCGCCAGTCGCAAGCGATCCTCTCGCGTCTCCTCGCCGAGATCGAGACCCAGCGCAGCGCGCTCGCACCGCGCAAGAAGTTTACGTTCAAAGCCCGAGCGAAAAAAGCACCAGCCGCGACGACCGAGGCCATCCCGAGTCCTGACGCGCCAACGACGCCTGCGATCGCACCTACAGCGCTCGACCACGAGCTCATCTACGCCGACCGCAGTGACGAGGTGCTCGTCATCGACGCGCCTGACGCGCCCGACTTGACGCTTGCGCGCTTGACCAACTGCATCGTTTGCATCGTGACGCCGACGTCGGCGCTGCGCGCGACCGCCCTCCGCAACTGCCACGTGCTCACGGGGCCGATCCACGGGTCCCTCTGGCTCGAAGACTGCGCCGAGAGCTCGTTCACGGTGGCCTGCCGCCAGCTGCGCGTGCACCACTGCCACAACGCGCGCTTCTACCTCCGTATTTCGAGCCATCCGATCATTGAAGACTGCAGCAATCTGGGCTTTGCGCCATATGCGCTGCAGTACGACGGCCTCAGCGCGCAGCTCGCAGCGGCAGGCATGGGCCACCCGTCACCGCTGTACGCGCAGGTGCACGACTTCAAGTGGCACCGGGCGCAGCAGTCGCCGCACTGGTACCTCGTGGGCGCCGACGACGTGCATCCGATGGCCTCCGATATGCGTCTGCGTGCGACGCCGCTGTCGCTTCCGTAAGGAAACCGAGTTATAAGTATATCTGCGCCTTTAGTTTATGCAGTCTTGGATGCTTTCGACTTCTTCTTGGGCTTGAGAACGACCGCGACGTCGTCCGTGTTGTTGTCGACCACCGTCTTGGGCTTCTTGGTCTTCTTGAGCGTCGGGACCTCGTCGTCCTCGTTCTTGACTTGCGCCACCTTCTTGGCCTTCTTGACCTTCTTGACTTCCGTCACGACGACGGCCGCCGGTTCGATCGACTTGCGCTTCTTGGTCGACGTCTTCTTGATCGGACGCATGCTGCCATCGATCGAGATGACGCCATAGGCTTGGTGCACGCTACACATTCACGGGTGAGCCAACGCAACGCAACGATGATCGAGTCGACGGTACCGAAGGACGTGGAACGCGACTTCGGCGCCAAATTCAATCGTGACACCGTCGTCGCCGACCCAGGCTTCCTCCTGAAAGTTGTGCACGTAGCCGTCCGGCATTTCGGTCGAGTCGATCGAGACGTTGAAGACACCGGCGAGGAGGAGACCAATGTGGTTGCTGCCAACCTTGTTGACGACCGCCGAGAGCTGCATGCCAGGCGTCGGCCGGAAGACAAGCGCATCCGCAGCGACGCGCACGTGGATGTACGGCGTCTCGTTGATGATGTGGCCATACGGGTTCAAGAGCGTGATCGCGTTGAAGGCCAGGATCACGCCTTCGACCGGGTCGCAGTACTTCATGAGCATGAGGTTGAGCTGCTCCTCGAGGCCCTTCTTCGCATCGTGAATGTGGCATGGCGCCAGACTGCAGCTCATGACGAGCTACTGATGCATGAGCTTCCTACGTCATCGCGGTCATGCTCGTCTACCTTGGCGTTCACGAACGGGCTCATCTCGCGGGCTCTGGAACAAATGCACACTACTTGCATTTTATGTCCATTCAAGTTCGCGCAACCGAGCCAATCAACGGATCCAGTGCCCTCGTATCCGGCATCCGCATAAAATGCGTGGCGCCGCCATGAGAACCCGACGTCGTGCCCGCCGTGGGCCAAGGGTGGCCTGCCGCTTGTATCGCTTCGTGCAAGCTCAATCACGCTGCGCATTGGCGGCAGGATGGACATGGACCATGCAGTATCCCTGCCTCGTTGTTCGTTACGTGTGTGGTCGTATTTCAACTGGCACGAGAACCTCATAGGTACCACGAAAGCAAGGGAGCGTCGAGAGGGTAAATAGGACCAGCGATCTTAGTTGTTTTCGAGGTAGGCTTCGAGGTCGTCGAGGTCGTCCGAGCCATGCGTGGCACTGGCGGGTACTTCAAAGAGCTGGGGCTCGACGGGGCGATGCAACGCGTCGCGCGCTGCTTGTTGCGCAGCTTCTTGTTCTGCCATTTCTTGAGCGATGCGTGCTTGGCGCTCGCGGGCCTCGTTGCGCCGATCCGCCGTGCGCCGCTCGGCGTCGAAGCGTGTCTCCAGAGCAGCCCGCTCGACTTTGAGCAGCGCGATCTGCTCGAGCGCCATCGCGCGAGACCGCTGGACCTTGGCGAGCTCTGCTGTCAGTGCCCGCAACTCTGCTTCGTCGGCGTCCGCCTGTACCCCGGCTTCACCAGCCTCTGCCCGCAGCCCGGCAGCGTCGGCGTCCGCCATGCGCTTCGAATCAAACACTGCTGAGGGTGCGTGCACTTGCACACTATACGATGCATACCACAATCCGTAAATAGTGTGCTATGCTAGCTTTAGTCCCTTGTCCAGCCCCGTCCCATCCTCTGCGGCGGCAGCTTCTTCAAGTCGAGGGCCCTGCCCCAAGTGGTCTCAACCCCCAACTCCCGCAGCCAAGCAGCCCATCGTCCGACGCCACCGCTCCTTTCTTGCACTCTACGCTTGATAAATGCCCAGAAATTACCAACAGTAAAAATACGCTTTCAAATACCACAGGAAATTGCTTTCGCGCTGCATTTTTGAGCGATCTACCATCATCCCACCTGCCATCATCCCCTCGTGTCCATGACGGTCGTTGCGATGGTGCTGTGTCGGGGCGCGCCGTGGGCTCTTGCCAGGTAGGACCCCTGGCTCTTGCCCTGTCCCGGCCGCGCGACCCTAAGAATTTTTGGCCGTTCGTAGGGAAGGTAGCCAATCAAACGCGTGGATTGGGTGCGTATTATTATTCAGTGGCATAGAATCCTGTATATAATATAATACAAGCGACGCAAAGGAATGGACTGGTCGCATCAAACCATTGGGTGGACTTGAATCCCGAATTGCCTGCCAAGATGTCGGCCGTTGAAAGCTCGCTGCCCGCCCCTGGCACGGACGCCGTCGTCGCGCCCGCGGCCCCCGAGGACGTCGCCGGCATGTTCGACCTCAAGAAGAAGAAGAAGACGACCAAGAAGAAGTCGTCCAAGAAGGAGGCCGAGGCCG